TAAACAAAAAACATTTTACAAATACTCTTTACTGTGTACATTTTTTTGTCCTAACAAAGTATCAATCTACTGATTGGATGAAGTGTATGTTATAGATATATTAGTCGAGTGATGTTTTTCATCATTCTTGGCTATCTTGAGGTTATCTTGAGATGATTTCGGGGCTTTAGTGTCCCCGCGGCCCGGTCCTCGACCAGGCCTCCACCCCCAGGAAGCAGCCCGTGACAGCTGACTAACACCCAGGTACCTATTTTACTGCTAGGTAGCAAGGGCATCAGGGTGAAAGAAACTCTGCCCATTGTTTCTCGCCGGCGCCCGGGATCGAACCCGGGACCACAGGATCACGCGTCCAGTGTTCTGTCTGCTCAGCCGACCGGCTCATTATAGGTAGGCTTATATTTTTCTGTGAGTTCCTTTAGAGTTTATGTGAAACTGAATGTGTACCATCCGTTGCTGAGTGGGCTGCGTGACGGGAAGAACGGAGAACAGTTTTATGCAGACTGAGTGGCGTTGATTGTAATGGAGGCGGAGCGTCCTGATAGGTGTTGTGTCTGGCGGCATTGTCAACCTCAATAGCAGACACAGTTGTTATTCTGTGCTGCGCTTCGTGTACGTGGTGAAGTGAAGAGGATGTGGTGGTGGTGGTGCTAGGAGCCCGTGCCCGCACCTGTTACTATGCCTGTACTGCCCTCAACCCTTGGGCAGCATACCCACTCTTAAGAGGCTACGGGATCCAGTAAGTTCAGTAGAACTTTGGTTTCAACCCTTTTAACCCTGTCGTAGCTTAGTCGATTAAAGCAGTGTCTGGGATGCCCCCGGACGCAGGTTCGAATCCTCGTCACGGCCCTTGTGGATTTGTCCACTCTTAAGGTACAGCAGAGGTCTGCTCACAGTAAATATTATAAATATTCAAGCAACCACTGGAAACATTCCACTACACAAGAACCATTAAACTAAAGGCCTGCATCACAGGCACGATGTTCAGAATACCCCCGTTGAAAAGCAAAGGTGCAACAGGTACTCTGAGAGAACTCTTAAGAACATCAGAGGCCCGAGACTGTTCAACACGCTTCCACTACACATAAGGGACATAACTGGCCGACCCCTCACACCCAGTTCTCTCTTGAACACCAAGAGAGAACTGGATGAACACCTCGAAAGGATACCTGTTCAACTAGGCTGTGATTCATACGTCAGGCTGCGAGCAGCCGCGTCCAACAGCCTTGGGCCAGATTCACAAAGCAGTTACGCAAGTACTTACGCACGTGTACATCTTTCCTCAATCTTTGAAAGGTTTGGCTACATTTATTAAACAGTTTACAAGCAGATAAACTTGTCAATCAACTGTTGTTATTGTTATAAACAGCCTCCTGGTGCTTCCGAGCTTATTACTGTTTAATAATTGTAAACAAAGCCGCCAAAGATTGAAAAAAGATGTACAGGTTCGTAAGTGCTTGCGTAACTGTTTCGTGAATCTGGCCCTGGTTGATCAGTCCACCAACGAGGAGGCCTGGTCGAGGACCGGGCCGCGGGGACACTAAAGCCCCGAAATCATCTCAAGATCATCTCAAGCAGTGATGACTGGAAGGGTGCTCAACTGCTCAAGACAATACTACACCAGTCAGCGTGCAGAAGTGTGCAGGAAGACCAGTAATAAGTGTGTGTAGCACATTAATCAATACTGAAACCTCTTCTTAAAGATTATATATCTACAACTATATAAGATAATGTCTATTAGCTGTAGGAGGTCAGACGCTTGCTGCTAGCCTCACCAGACTTTGCAAGGTGACTGGTGGTTGTGGGGGGATGGTCATAGGGGTCAAAGTTGACCTCCAAGTTAGTGGAGGATGGTCGAGAGGATCGTTAGTACCTTGGTACTAACTACCAACATCGTTAAATGACCAGATTCCATCCTCAATGACATCCATAACTGTTTGGAGTCCTTAGAATCTACACACTGTCTAGATGGGGTACGAGGCAGTGCCCGGGTAGTTAGGATTGTTACAATGATCAGGACAGTAGTGAGGATGGTTGTAGATAGTTACAATGATCAAGGCAGTAGTGAGGAGGGTTGTAGATAGTTACAATGATCAAGGCAGTAGTGAGGAGGGTTGTAGATTGTAACAATGATCAGGACAGTAGTGAGGATGGTTGTAGATTGTTACAATGATCAAGGCAGTAGTGAGGATGGTTGTAGATTGTTACAATGATCAGGACAGTAGTGAGGATGGTTGTAGATAGTTACAATGACCAAGGCAGTAGTGAGGATGGTTGTAGATTGTTACAATGATCAAGGCAGTAGTGAAGATGGTTGTAGATTGTTACAATGATCAAGACAGTAGTGAGGAGGGTTGTAGATAGTTACAATGATCAAGGCAGTAGTGAGGAGGGTTGTAGATTGTTACAATGATCAAGGCAGTAGTGAAGATGGTTGTAGTTACAATGATCAAGGCAGTAGTGAGGATGGTTGTAGATAGTTACAATGATCAAGGCAGTAGTGAGGATAGTTGTAGATGGGACGCCCAGAGGTGCCCGGGTTGTGAAGATAGTTTCAGTGATGAGGATAAGCATGTGTAGTGAAACTAGTTACAGTGATTGTACACTGAAGGGAAGCAGTGATGTCCATTAGGTGGTTAGAAATAGGAGCTGCCTCGTATGGGCCAATAGGTCTTCTGCAGTTACCTTTGTTCTTATGTTCTTACCACCTCAGCAACCCCTGATAATCCCTCTAGTGCATCTGTGTATATAAATATTATCCCCCCCCCCCCTACACAAACACACAAAACTACTCGATAAAGCAAGTAGAGTCACTTATACGATGCTTGCTAAAGATGCTAAACTGACAAGATTAAGATGGGGATGAATTATAAGAGAAGTCAAATCCGGATCCCATCACAATGATCATACTCAAGTCACTTGTGCTGTCCAGTCTTGAGTACTACTCCGTACTCACTTCTCGCTCGTGGGGGAGCCGGTACCTGGTTGATACCTGGTTGATGGGGTTCTGGGAGTTCTTCTACTCCCCAAGCCCGGCTCGAGGCCAGGCTTGACTTGTGAGAGTTTGGTCCACCAGGCTGTTGCTTGGAGCGGCCCACAGGCCCACATACCCACCACAGCCCGGCTGATCCGGAACTTCTCTTAGAAAACAGTCCAGTTTTCTCTTGAAGATGCGGACTGGACGCGTGATCCTGTGGTCCTGGGTTCGATCCCATGGGGCCGGCGAGAAACGATGGGCAGAGTTTCTTTCACCCTGATGCCCCTGTTACCTAGCAGTAAATAGGTACCTGGGAGTTAGTCAGCTGTCACGGGCTGCTTCCTGGGGGTGGAGGCCTGGTCGAGGACCGGGCCGCGGGGACACTAAAGCCCCGAAATCATCTCAAGATAACCTCCCTCCAGAGCAAGAGAAATGGCTGAAAGAGAACGAATACAGAGAACATATACGGCACACATAGACACGATAAAACACCTAAACTATTGGGACCTCTGTCTCAACGCTCTCAAAATGAACTCTCTAGAATGAAGACGAGATGGACATCAAATAATATATACAGAGAAAATGCTGGAAGGCCAAGTCCCAAATTTGCACAGTAAAATAGCAATATAGCAGATCGAACAATATGACTGGAAATGGAGAACAGTCAGTGAAGATGCGCCATAGACACAGAGAACACTATAAATATCAGAGGCCTACGGCTGTTCAATATCCTTCCAGCAGGTATAAGAAATATTGCTGGAACAAAAGTGGAAAACTTTAATAAAAAAAAACTAGTCAGTTTTTCACAATAAGTGCAAGACCAACCAGGCTGTTGAGGAGCAAGCAGGCAGCGCCAAGCAACAGCCTGTTAGACCAAAGCTGTGACAATTCAATCCTGGCCTCAGGCTAGGCTTGGGGAGTAGAAGAACTCTCAGAACCCTCCACAGATAATATCCAGGATACTATACAAGACTTCTGTATACACGGAAGATGCTCCAGAGACGATACGAGGGAACGTTGGTGAGTGGTGATCTTGTGGTAAACCCACACCACCAGACCACCACCTTTCCTGCCTTTGCCCACACCTGCCTACACTTCTTGCCCACACCTGCCTACACTTCTTGCCCACACCTGCCTACACTTCTTGCCCACACCTGCCTACACTTCTTGTCCACACCTGCCTACACTTCTTGCCCACACCTGCCTACACTTCTTGCCCACACCTGCCTACACTTCTTGTCCACACCTGCCTACACTTCTTGCCCACACCTGCCTACACTTCTTGCCCACACCTGCCTACACTTCTTGCCCACACCTGCCTACACTTCTTGCCCACACCTGCCTACACTTCTTGCCCACACCTGCCTACACTTCTTGTCCACACCTGCCTACACTTCTTGTCCACACCTGCCTACACTTCTTGCCCACACCTGCCTACACTTCTTGTCCACACCTGCCTACACTTCTTGTCCACACCTGCCTACACTTCTTGTCCACACCTGCCTACACTTCTTGCCCACACCTGCCTACACTTCTTGCCCACACCTGCCTACACTTCTTGCCCACACCTGCCTACACTTCTTGTCCACACCTGCCTACACAAATCCCCGGACACTGCAGGTCACTCCGCTCAAGTAACCTCAGCCAAACCAATTCACTAGAGGGGCCTGGAATGATGAGGATGAAGAGGCATGGAATGAGGAGGTCGTGGCCAGGGCCCAGAAGGAGGAGGGGGTCGTGGCCAGGGCCCAGAAGGAGGAGGGGGTCGTGGCCAGGGCCCAGAAGGAGGAGGGGGTCGTGGCCAGGGCCCAGAAGGAGGAGGGGGTCGTGGCCCGGAAGGAGAGAGGGGGGGGAGGGTCGTGGTAAGGACCCAGAAGGGACAACACAAGCCAGGACCGGACACGTCACACCAACACAAGGTAGCCGGTGTAAGCACCACCAAACAGTCTCACGGCGACCAAGAGTAACTGAGCGACACATTACTATGGGAGCCGAGAGTGGGTGGAAGCGGTTGGGCAACACCTACCTGGAAGACGTCTCTCTGGTCACCTTCATCTTGTGGCGTACGGCGGTCCAAGTGTCCAGCAGGTTCCTCCAGAGCGACTCCACCTTGACGTGTCCGTGTGTCCGACACTGCTGGAGGTGGTGCTGCTGCAGGTGGTGGTGCTCCTCCCCCACAGGAAGACCAGCCTCTATACACTCCTCTTTGGGGGCCACCCTTCACCCTTTTCCTGGGACCCACCACCACTACCTTCACGCACCCTCCTTCCGTCCGTCTAGTCTCCTCCACACTTCTCCCTCACACACCCCCACACTTACACACCGCCGAGGACGGGCCCCACGCCTGCTAGGACGGCCCCAAGCCTGCTAGGACGGTCCCCACGCCTGCTAGGACGGGCCCCACACCTGCTAGGACCCCACACCTTCTAGGACGGGCCCCACGCCTGCTAGGACGGGCCCCACACCTGCTAGGACGGGCCCCACGCCTGCTAGGACGGGCCCCACACCTGCTAGGACGGGCCCCACGCCTGCTAGGACGGGCCCCACGCCTGCTAGGACGGGCCCACGCTCACGCACTCCCATCCATAGCTACTAGCCACTACACGACGCTAGTCCTGGGTCGTGCTGCCCCGCCTCACACTGACCCCCAGGCAGCTCTCCTGGGGTCATGGGGGTCTCAAGCAGAAACAACTCAACACCGAGGCATTATCAAACAATTCTTTGGTCAAAGTTCTTTGTTTTTTTACACGGTGGCTTTTATGAGGAGGGCGGCGATGGTGGCGGGCGTGCGGCCATGTCCAGCACTGGCAGGAATATGTCTTGGGCAGCAGACTGAGGTTAAGTTGGTCCAGCAGGACGCCAGGAGGTGACTAGAGGTGGGGGAAGAGGCGCGCGAGTGAGGAAGGAGAAGGGGCGGGTGTAGCAGGGTGTATAACACAGCAGGACACGCACACACATACACAGCTAGCGGTGGTGAGGCTCCGTCCACAGCCACACACGACAGCCTGCCGCTTCGGCCCCGCGTTCCCTGACTAGACTAAAGGCAACTATCCGTCAGTCCTTCCTGCTGCTGCTGCTGCTGCTGCTGCTGTAGCCACGGCTGCTGCTGCTGCTGTCCCTTTACCACCCGCACCAACACTTGACCAACACATTACCCCCCACCGTACACACCCTCACCACTACCACCAGTACACATCTTCCAGTACAGGACTACGTAAACCCAACACTAGCGCCAAACACCAGATAAACAGAGTGGTGTGGCGGCCGGCGGCGTGCGGCAACTGGCGAGCCAGGCTGGTGAGAGGGGAGGGGACGGGGTGAGAGAGGGAGAGAGGGGGAGGGAGAGAAGTTAGGATGTGGAGGGAGCGGAGAGGGAGGGAGGGAGGGGTGGGATTGGGGTGGCGGCAAAGGGGACCAGGCACTAGAGGGAGGGTGGGATTAAAGAGGGGGTGAAGGTCGCAGTCACCTCAATGAATGCACACTATACACACACACACACACGCACATACATACGCGCACACACGGGCGCGCGGGCTCACGTATGAGCGTGAGCTCACATATATACACACACACATACACGCTCGCGCGCGCACACACACACACACACACTTCCTCCATACCCTCTCATCCTCACACTGCTCCCCAACACCCACACCACTCACACACCTCCACAACACACGTACAAAAATTCATCCCCATAACAAAATACCACCACCCCCACCCCCGCCCCCCCAAAAAAAAAATATATGGCAACATTTTGGCCATGAGCTGAAGGAATAAAATCAATACCATCACATCTCAGCCAGAGGCTCCACCACCACCACAACAACAACAACCTGGCGCCTACACCACCACCACAACCACAACAACCTGGCGCCTACACCACCACAACAACAACAACCTGGCGCCTACACCACCACCACAACAACAACCTGGCGCCTACACCACCACAACAACAACAACCTGGCGCCTACACCACCACCACCACCACAACAACCTGGCGCCTACACCACACACCATATGCACCACCTCAACGACACCAAAGACACCCCACAAACAAAAAGTTGACGGGGGTGGATGGATGGGTGGGTGGGGGAGTTATGTGCGGCGCGCCTTACATATCACACCCATATTGTGTGGGTATAGCAAGGACAGTGGTACACACCACACTGGCCAAAGCTAGAATATACAGCGGTTGTGTGGTGCCCATATCTTAAGAAGCACATCAACAAACTGGAAAAGGTGCAAAGACATGCTACTAAGTGACTCCCAGAACTGAAGGGCAAGAGATACGAGGAGAGGTTAGAGGCATTAAATATGCCAAAACTAGAAGAAGAAAAAGAGGTGATATGATCACAACGTACAAAATATTAACAGGAATTGATAAAATCGATAGGGAAGATTTCCTGAGACCTGGAACTTTAAGAACAAGAGGTCATAGATATAAACTAGCTAAACACAGATGCCGAACAAATATAAGAAAATTCACTTTCGCAAACAGAGTGGTAGACGGTTGGAACAAGTTAGGCGAGAAGGTGGTGGAGGCCAAGACCGTCAGTAGTTTCAAAGCGTTATATGACAAAGAGTGCTGGGAAGACGGGACACCACGAGCGTAGCTCTCATCCTGTAACTACACTTAGGTAATTACACGCACCTGAGGCTCCTGCCATATGGGAGCCTGGCGCTATCATACTATAATAATAATAATTTATTTAGGAAAATTACATACATAGTTGCAGGGTTACAGTACAAACATTCTGTTTGATTTAAAGATAGAGGCAGTACATACAATACCTACAGCCACTAGTACGCATAGCATTTTGAGCAGTACTCTCTCACATGACCAGATGCCTATCTTCCTGTGAGGGGGGGGGTCGGGCACCAGGGGGTTGAAGAGGCCTAGCAACTATAGTAGTGGTTGAAGAGAACTACTACTTAGAAAGTAGTAGTTAGAAAGTTACTCCTGGCCCCACACACACACACACACGTCATTAGACCAAAGTAGACTGCCACTACTACCCCCCCCCAGCCCCAGTGCCAGCTGACTCGGCACAGGGCCACGGAGGAGATGACGTGTGCCAGGCGCCACAACCTGGGCCTCCACCACCAACCACATCAACCACACTCTACAAATGTGTCAAACATGCTGTGCCCTTCACTTATGTTGACACAATCATCGAGGGAGAAAATATATGTTGAATGATAAATATTTTCAGGTCATTATTCCCCCAGAACTGCAGACCTTATTCACTTCTACTGACAGAAAAAAAACTCACACTTCACTGTAAATGCTCTCTGAGAATTACCGGTGAACTTGCAATCTTTCGTCATGTTATAGTGTTTTTGGTCATGATATCAAGTGAGGATCCGTGTAAGATTTAGATAGCATTCTTCTGTTGCCCTTAATATTAAATGTTGTCATCATTAGTCAATAGTTATGTCTATAGATTATGTAAATTCGTGAGGGCAGGAAGATAGCGTTATCAGACATGAAAGGTGGAGACGGGTCCCCCGGGGGCAGACATGGCCTGTGGGAACACTACGCAGCTGGTGCCCCACAGGTCGTGTGGTACAGCCTGCACTCAAGGCTTCCTCCCACCAGGCATAAATCATAGGGCAGCAGGCAGTAGCAGGCAGATTGATTGATAAAGATTAAGCCACCCAAGAGGTGGCACGGGCATGAATAGCCCGTAAGTGGTGGCCCTTTTGAGCCATTACCAGTATCAATAGATGATACTGGAGATCTGTGGAGGTGCTACTGCACCTTGCGTGACGGGAGATGTCCCCCGTAGCAGCAGGCAATATATTGCCATAGACGCTGCCCAATAAACTCGCCCCTCGGGGCAAAATTTAAATTTAAATTGCCATAGATTTAACATCGCGCGCGCTTTGAAGCATCGGTGTTTAACTTTGAATTTGTCCGCAAGTACATTAATTACAATTTATATACTTTAAATATATAAATTATATATGAATGTATACCTAAATCATTCAAATAATTCTTTATTGGACCAGCTTGCGTTTACACCCACAAAAGCAGCTGGTGCTTAAAACAGCTAGATATTTAGGGGGGACTCTACACACTCTGAAGCAAGAAATATACATTTTTACAACTCTGACAATAAATATAACAATGTGAGTTAATCACGTGAGTGACCGAAAAAAGTTAACATTGGTCTTTATGACAGCAAATAGAACGATGCCGGTATAAATAAATGCTCTTAAAATATATATATTATATATACTATAATATATATTTCACTAGATGGCCTCTTTCTATCTTATCCCCATTTCCCTCTCTCTCTCACTATCTCCCCCTCATCTTCTTCCACGCCCTTCCCTTCATCCATCAGAAAATTTTGTATGAAGACCTGAGAAATTAGTAGAAAGTCAACAGAAAAGACATTCCTGATTTCAAGCTTCCTGAAAATAATCGGTGGGGTTTTCTATAGCTGCCGATATTTCGCAAATGGTGAGACTGGGGCCGACCTGTCTGACCTATGACATCCCACCGCTATATATCATCTTGGATAGTTGGACGAGACTAGTCCCAACCCTCTGACCACCCACTTTGGGCAGACATTCCATATGCAGGAGGCGGTCGGTCGAGCGGACAGCACGCTGGACGTGTGATCCTGTGGTCCCGGGTTCGATCCCGGGCGCCGGCGAGAAACAATGGGCAGAGTTTCTTTCACCCTATGCCCCTGTTACCTAGCAGTAAAATAGGTACCTGGGTGTTAGTCAGCTGTCACGGGCTGCTTCCTGGGGGTGGAGGCCTGGTCGAGGGCCGGGCCGCGGGGACACTAAAGCCCCGAAATCATCTCAAGATAACCTCAAGATATGCAGGCGATGAGTCACAATAACGTGGCTAAAGTATGTTGACCAGACCACACACTAGAAGGTGAAGGGACGACGACGTTTCGGTCCGTCCTGGACCATTCTCAAGTCGATTGAGAATGGTCCAGGATGAACTGAAACGTCGTCGTCCCTTCACCTTCTAGTGTGTGGTCTGGTCAAGAGACATTCCATGCATAGATAACGCTACAGATAATAACTGGAGATAAGAGAGAAATCATACAAAGTTGAGCATATACACAATGTGTAGCATTGCTCCCAAATAGTGAGCACATCACACTGACTTCTTGTATTAGTTCCCATTTTTTTAGTTGACAAATTACGACTATAATTAGGCCTGGCCGTCGCCTGGACAGCCGCCATGTCCTGGGGCCAGATTCACGAAGCAGTTACGCAAGCACTTACGAACCTTTACATCTTTTCTCCTGGTTGATACCTGGTTGATGGGGGTCTGGGAGTTCTTCTACTCCCCAAGCTCGGCCCCAAGCCCGGCCCGAGGCCCGGCCCGAGGCCAGGTTCTCAATCTTTGGCGGCTTTGTTTACAATTATTAAACAGTTAATGAGCTCCGAAGCACCAGGAGGCTGTTTATAACAATAACAACAGTTGATTGGCAAGTTTTCATGCTTGTAAACTGTTTAATAAATGTAACCAAAGCCGTCAAAAATTGAGGAAAGATGTACATGTTCGTAAGTGCTTGCGTAACTACTTCGTGAATCTGGCCCCAGGTCCCAGTTTCTCGCCTCCCCCGACTCCTCCCCCCGCCCCCCCCCCAACCATCCAAAGTGTTAAATAAGCCGTAAATTCACAATGGCCGGAAGTGAAGCCCTCTGGACGCCCCAGCACCCTTCCTGTCCTGCCACTACACACAAAACATTCCTCTCCCAGCCATACGTGGAAGGTCCAGCCCATCCTCCTGTTTAGACACTATACTGTTACTAAATACTATCTAAATAGTATCTATAGTATCACTGTCACTATACTTATAGTAACCTTGTGCACCGGTGTACATTATATTATATATATATATATATATATATATATATATATATATATATATATATATATGTATATATATATATATATATATATATATATATATATATATATATGCGAACAAGCCTGAATGGTCCCCAGGACATATGCAACTGAAAACTCACACCCCAGAAGTGACTCGAACCCATACTCCCAGAAGCAACGCATCTGGTATGTACAAGACGCCTTAATCCACTTGACCATCACGACCGGACATAATGAGGTGATAGCCGAGGCTATTTGAACCACCCCACCGCCGGCACTCGGATAGTTATCTTGGGCATAGCATTTTACCAAATCACCTCATTCTTTGGGGCAACACGTGAGGAACACAAATGCGAACAAGCCTGAATGGTCCC